CTCAAAACTTTTCAACCCACCCTCGTATATACATATATATGTTAATCCTTCACATTATATACGATACCTAACGGTGAGATTAACATTTTCTTCAATGTTCATCTTTTTTCTTTTTACTTTTTTGAATAATATAATTTTTCATATATAATCTATTATTTATTAATATTTATCATTTATATTTATTTTTGAAATTCGTTCGGAGGGTTAAAAATATTCCTTTAGATATTAGCGATTTATTATAATAATTGTACGTATTATTCATTGAAAAAAGACAGAGATAAGTTTAGGAAAAACAGTTATGTTTCTTATTTATGGGATGATGAAAATGACTCAAGCATTTATGTATTCTTGGTATGGAAGTATTCTCGCTATTGAGGTATTCGTCAATTCAAATAATGTACTTAATCATCTTTTTTAGATTCATTTCAAGTATTTGTTTTCTATAAATATATAGAGTGAAACATTTCAACGCAGTGTTTATTGTTGCGAATGGTACCAAGATGGAAACATTAAACTGATGAAAGGTGTTTTTCTTGTATTGACACAGAGACCAATTGTATTGACAGCATGTCATCTCTTTTATATTTCATTGGATCTTTTTCTTAAGGTAAACATAGTTATTACAAATTGTAATATATATATAATGTCTTTTATTTCTATTCGCGTATGCCTTTTCTTATTTCTTTTCTCGTAGATACTCAATACGTCATTGTCGTATTACTTTTTGTTGCTAACATTTGATGAAAATAATGATRAACGCTAAATAAAAATATTAAAAAATAAATAGGTATAATTTAAATATTATAATACGGGTACATGATATGTAAAAAATATACAAATTATTATCAAATATAACGTAGATACAAACGTACATACCATGGTTTGTTTTTATGTAATACTTATGTGTGATCACTGATTAATATTTTATTTTTTATATAAAAAATAAAAGTAAATGAAACTGAAAGAGTGATAATTATTATATTGTAAAGAATACAGTGTAATACAAGTATGTGGACATATAACTTCAATAATGTGTGCATTAATTTTTGTAAAACGTTCTATATAAAATTGGATTCTAGATAAAAAAATAATTATTTAATAATTACTGTGCGTGTATATGAAGAGAAAGAGRGAGAGAGAGAGACGAATAAAGATAATTTATCTGTCATAAGCGAGAATCATCTTCAAGGTTTCAAAAACTGATATTAATATTAATATGTATTATAGGTGTATAGTAATTTTTTGAAATATTCAACATAAAGTTTGATTTTGGATTCAAAATTATATATAAAATATCTGAAAATAATTATCTAATAATTATAATATGAAAAATAGATATTTATATTTAAGGTTTAATAAATTACTATTAACTTTTTTTAATATGCAATTTATTGATAAACTTACAATTAGAATGCACCGTTGTCTAATCCGTTATTCAAATAATTTGATTTAWGATCAAAGCACTAGGAACGTCTAACATAAGTACGTCTTGTTTTGTGATTTAGTAATCATATATCTAATACGCTTTTCTATAAAGGGTTTATCGTAGAACGTCCATTTGTTGAAAATGATCGAATAATTTGACGAGCATATAGCTCATAATTTTCTAGCAAATCTTTGATGGAACCATACATTTTACTTAGAAGGTTACGGAAAACTTGGTAACTACCTGATATTTCTAAATTGATCGCATAAATGATAAATGTAGGCATCGAAGCGAGTAGAAAATATAGCTTTAAGGGATTGCATGATATATCGTATAAAGTATCGCTTGTTAGAAGTAATATTCTGTCACGATATCAGAGGCATTGACCTCACGTGTTAGATCGTTGATTTATTCTGTATTTCGATTATGACAACAGAACAATTGGTTATGTATCGGCAGTATGCTTCTTTTATCAAACGCATGGTATTCTGTTCAGGTTTATGGCCAGTKACAAAAACCGAGAGCTCATATTTCTATCGATATTTACCTATTTTGACTATATTTTCTGGTACCTTTATGTGTTACGGTGGTATAACATTTTGTATTGAAAATCTTGACAATATYAAAGTATTTACCAAAGGACTCAGTCCTTTAGGAGGATTTGCTTTAGTTGTAGTAAAGGTATGTGGGATTCGATCATCCATGTTTAAACAATTCTTGACTTACATTGAATTACATATTGAAAAAAACATTTTTTCTTAAGGTGATGATGTTTTTCTTATATAGAGAACAATTACGCGAACTTAATTACAATTTAGAATCTATGTTCGAGGAAATTCTAGAGAAAATTCATTAYCGGCCAGTAGTATTCTCCCTGTTAAATTTTTTTCGACGTCCCGCTTATATGATTTATTATTTGATGGTGTTCACAGTACTCTCGTATATATGCAGAGCATTTTTATTGATCATTTATCAAATAATAAAAAACATAGATCCGAAATATTACCCTCTTCCCTATCCGGCTATTTTTCCATGGCTCGATGGAAGTTACAATTTTAGATATCAAATACAATTTCTTTTTGAACTTCAATTTGGTTGGTTTATGGTGTTTGTAACTAGTGGAGTTGATACTGCTTATGGATTCTATATATTTYAAATGGTCGGAATATTACGTGCCATGTCTTTGGAATGTGAGAAAGTTGGAAAATCGTCCGACGAGTTTGATATTATTTTATTACGTAATTGTATCAAAAAAGAAATTTTACTGTTACGTTGTCGCGACATTATTCAAAACGTTTATGGACCTGTGGTATTAAACTTGATCGTCAGCAGTGTTATTGTCTTATGTGGGTTGATATTTCAGATGTTTCAGGTACGACTAAATAATGTATTCATTATTTATTATCATCTACTCCTAATATACGTTTAATTCTCACAAACGTTGAATCAAACATTGATTCACAAACATTGAATCAAACGTTGATTTAATATTCTTTCTTTATTTTTCTTAATTAACTGGAAGATTAAAAATATCATTGTCGCTATTAACGATTAGATGTAATAATTAAATCTATTATTTATTGAAAAGACAGAGATAAGTATAGAGAAAGTTGTTATGGTCGTTCTTTATGGGCTATTGAAAATGACCCAAGCATTTATATATTCTTGGTATGGAAATATCTTAGCTGTTGAGGTAAGAATCATTTCAAATAATATATTTCGTCTATTTTACATTCTTTTTGATAGTACTTATTTTTGATATTTACAGAGTGAAGCTTTCCGGCGTAATGTTTACTGTTGCGGATGGTACGAAGACGGTAACATCGAACTAATGAAAGACGTACTTTTTATATTAGCACAAAAACCAATTGTATTAACAGCCTGCCATTTCTTTCACATCTCATTGGATCTTTTCGTGAAGGTAATGATTTCTTTATTATTTTATTTCCTTTACAAATATTATTTTTTGTTTTCTTTTTCCAGATATTAAATACATCCTTGTCGTATTACTTTTTGTTGCAAACCATCGATGAAGCTTATAATTGAATTGTAAATTTTTATGCATATAAAATAAAAACAAAACAAAATGCACTAAAAATGTGTACATATATATATAAAAATATGTTTTCTTTGAAAATCTTTCAAATTTTTATTACAAATTTTTATTACATTTGTTTGAAAAAGTCCAATAGGATCGAGGAATTATGTGATCACATAATTGATTGATTTTTATTTGATATTTTACTTTTTAAGGATATAAAATATTTTGTTATGTTATCATACACGTAACTGAATTGAAAATTATTGTATTAGAAAATGTAACGAGTTTACAAGCGTGTAGAAGAAACAGGACAGGATCGATAAAACGATCAGTCATCGGTTGGAACGATCAAATGGTATATACTATGAAAAATGCATAAGTCGTAGCCTGAATACGTTACGTTCCTTCGAGTCAGATGGTTATTCGCTAGTTCGCATAACAGCGAGACCCGAATTCATGGAAGATGTTACCGTGACACGCGATGTTCTTGTACGAACCGAATCGTTGACGACACAAAACGATAACTTTTTTCTTCAGTTCTCTTCCATTCGAAGAACTTTGAACATCTGTTACTTTTTTCTTTTCACCAAATTCAAACTGCTCGTTTCTATTTCTTCGTATTTTAAATCTAATTCAATGTCTGTAAGAAGTCCTTCCGAGAAATCGAAAGATGAATCGGATTTCAAAAATGTTAATGCAAAAGAAACAATCAGTAATATTGAATCTAATAAAAGTAACATATTTGACGTTTATACGACTATTTTTCGACTTATTATTGTACACTGGATACCACGTGTTTGTCTTTTGGAAGAGGAACAAAAAGAGAAGGAACTGGACAATTTGATTTTACCCAGCAACACTCAATGGCGCCATCAAGTTTATTACAAACTGGTTGAATTACAACGAGAAAGAGACGTAGAAATAACTGAATTCGAGTAAGGATATTTTAAATTTTATTTCATTAGTATAAATGAATCAATACACACACATTTATTTACGATAAGAGTGAGAGAGATGCACGAAATATGATATTTGAACAATAAAGCCGAACAGAATGATATTTTTGTTAACGTTCTTATGTTGTTTATCATATACTTGACGTTGTCAAAAATGTTCAAAATCTGTCATTATGAATAATTTTACAATCGTGTGGTCACGTGCAGTTCTTCGTAGAAACCATAATTAAATACTCGTTAAATTAATAACCGATCGTAAAAATAATTTTGAAAATGATTGAATTTAATTCGTATATCGATTTAGTGTTTTTAAATAAAACATTAATGATGAAGGTATAAATGTTACAGGTTAGTATGCAATAATAATCAGTAATTTTATTCGAAATATTTCAGTTGGAATAATTACAAAATTCCGGTCTCATTCGATGTATTAATTAATATTTTATATCTTTTTATAAGTAAGTTCTCCAATGTAGTACGAAGATTTTGATGCAAAACTAATTACGTATCTAATTGTAAATAAAATATTTTTTTTTAATGTAAATAATAACCAATATTTATGTAATGTTTGAAATTGAACCTAATTAAAAACGGTCGAGTCTTAAATAATTATTTATACAAATTGTAAGTTTAAATGTGATATCTCACTTAAAACATGTATCTTTTTAAAGAAGATAAATTAGTCTCTAAAAAGTTTTGAACAATGTAGTACGTTGACTCTGATGCAAATTAATTTCTACATCCTCGATAATGGTGGAAACAAGAAGAAAGGATGAAAAGGGAACGAAATTAAAGGATCCCCAAGATTACGAATGGAGTCCAGGAAAATTCGAACGAATCGTTAAGGCCAAGATATTGAAGGAAGAAAATTCGAGTAGTTTGCTTGCAACATTTAGTTCCAATGGTTCTATGACGGAAACTTACATCGAACCGGGATGGCGAATCGAAGATATTTTGTTGGCAGCTAAAGTTCTTGAAAATAAGGAAGAGAGTCAACCTTTTTATACCAACGAAGCTGAGATGAGACGTGTATTTGGACTTGTATACGATGTTTTACGGTGTAAGTTATTTTATTAGAACAAAGAAGAAATCTTTTATTTATCCAATCTTTCGATCATTAGTTTTTTTTGTAAAAAATATTGGAATATAATATTAAAAAATTAATATTCACCAATAATATTTTCTTTGTAGGTATTAATTATTTTGTTATTTTCTTTTCTTTAGATAAAAATGTTTTAGATTACGTTCTGCAAGATATTGGATTCTGGTCGCGTAATCATGGATTAAAAAATCGTGAAAGGATCGTCTGGTTATTGTTGTACGATATGCAAGGGAGAAAGTTTTCCAGACGCAGTGATATCGTTACTACCAAGACACGAGATCAAATTTTTAAGGTATATATATATCATAAATAAATATCTATGAAATTGGTTAATCTCATTATTTTGTATTTTATTTTTTAAAACATTAATGTTTAGGCAATTGGTTTGAAAAACATCGAGAATGCTTTATTAGAAGTTAGAACACATTTGGCAGCCAGTATGTCTCGTTTGCGAATAGCTGGATCAGCACTTACACTTGGTAAATTGTATTAATATTAATCATAACAATCAATCTTAAATTATGACTATAATTAGTTTATTTTTTAAAACATGAACGAACGTATTTATCTGAAAGATAATATAAATAGATAAACTATTGCCGAAACATTTGCGTACTGGCGAAGGTATTGTTTGGTCTGAAGAAAGTGCTATTGCTTCTGGTTGGATTAACACATTTAACGGTAGCATAAGTAAAAAAGAATTGATCAAGGAATTATCAAATAAGGTTCAATTAGAATTATGTGAAAATTGTGAGGTTGCTGAATTGGACGAGAATATTTATGTTTTCGATTCGTTTTGTCCAAAAGTAATAAATATACACGAGAAGGCACGCGAGAGGGTTGCTTGTTCCAGTCTCGTTCGTGAACATCGATTTATATTTTTGGTAGATATATTATAATTATAATTATTCGACAAAGTGAGATTAATTGATTTTGTTATTAAATATTTTCTATAGGAACGATCGTTATGCCTTGGAGCAGCTGCCATAGCTGAAGCTATGCGAATAGGTCGATTATGTGGTCCCGTAGTTTTAACTCATTCGATAGCACCACGTCATACGGGATATTTAGCGGAACTTTTGTCAAGTATAGAAGGTGCTGGTAGACTTTTAGCCTTTGGCACAGGTGATCGTCGTTACGAATACGAGGATTATTTAAAAAAGCTTGGAATTACTTTGCAACAATGTCGAGTATTCTCGGAAAAGTAATTCGTATTTGATTATCAAAACATTTTATCGATTTTTTCAAAGTTATTAAAAGAAAATTGATATACGTTATTTTGAATAATAATTTCAGATATATTTCCCCACCCCCATCGGTTGAAATAGATAGAGCTACTGTTGTTTTAGCTACACCACCATCCAGTTACATAGGAGTCAAGGATATTGTTGATCTCGTAGTTGCTCGTGGTGGTGATACCAATTTATTAGAATCGTTAACTAATACCGACGACGAACTTTCCAAAACTCGTGCCGTTTTAACCGAACAATTGACTACTTTAAAGTACGCTTTAACAAGACCTAACGTGCAATTTCTAATTTACGAAGTTCATACTGTTTTACCAGCTGAAACAACTAAAATGGTACAACAAGTTGTAGATTATGCCAATCAATTGGCTACGGAAAAATATATTCATGAATGTTTGGTAAGAATTAGTCGAATTTTATCCCAGATATTTATTAAACAAAAAACATCACGTTATTGATACTTCATAATAAGTCTTTAATTTAATTAGCCGAAGAAAAAAGTTGTATTGAAAGAAAAACAAGGAAAGAATAACATAACAAAAATGTCGACTAAACAATCCTTACGAGCTAAAAGTCATTCGAAGAATGAACAACAATTTGAGGAAACTTCTATTACTGACTCCTGTCACGCAGACAAAGTAAATGAACACGAAGAGGACGAGATATTATCTTCCAAGACATGTCGTAATATCGATGTAAGACCTTGTCGTTACTTTTTTATAAATAATTTTTCTATTAAATATTATTTATTGAAATATTCATTAACATTTTGTTCTAATTGATTAGAACTTATTATTAGTTTGCCTATTATTTTTGTATTTGTGACCACGTAATTAATAAACAATAAATTTATACACACATTTATTTTATAAATATTTAATTTTTTTTTATTGAAACATATATATATATATATTTTATTATTTAAGTATCTTTTTTACTATCAAACATATATTAAACAATATATTTATGTTTTGTGTTCATATTATATAGGTACCGAAAAGCGATTTATTCGAAATTCGAAGTTTCGAAGAAATCTATAATAGGAATAGTACTAAGACATTAGAACCAGGATGTTTTATGGCTGTGATTAAGCGAAAAGAAATGATGCAATTTGATTCTTTGTTTATGATCAAAGTAGCAGAATCTAAGGGCCTTTTTGGTGACACGAACAACGAACAAAGTACGTCGAAACCGATCGTAACGACGACCCAACCATTAATTGTACCTGCTCAGCGTGTTAAACGTAAGGTATGTTGACCGAAAAAAAAAACAAAAACAAATTAACTACATTACGTAGAAAATTACCAACCCTTAATAATTTGAAATGAAGTAAAATTTTATATTGACTGCCATAAGTTATGTTCGAATGATTCCTAATTAAAAAGAAAAATAACAAAAAAAAGAAGTAAAAAAATGAAAGGGGAAAAAACAAAATACATATTTAAATGTGTGTCACACAGATCGACATCTATAGATTAACGATGCCAACGCATTCTTCGATACAACGACACGCGAGAAAATCGTGTTCTCGATTCGTACGACATTTCACGCATTGTGAAAATTATTCTTCGTTGCGAGCACGAAACATTAGAAAAAAGGACATACGTCGATGGTGGAAGGAAGCTATAGAGTATTTTCTTCGTTCGGAACATGCGCAGATATCTTCGGAATTCCGTGCCATGCGTACCGATCCGTTCACGCATAGATTTCTTTATCCTTCGCGTAAAAGAAAGCTCATTTTGTCTAGGTCGAGGAATGATCGCGATTTAATGAGAATTCCTAAGAAACGTAATATGATTTTTTTCATGCGTTCTCGTTTCTTTCGTAAAAGAAAATTACTTTCGTTGATATCATCATAATAATATAAAAATTATGCGATTTATTGTTATTATTATTATTATTATTTTATTTATGCGTATAGGTTGACAGGATAAAAAATTATGTTCGTTGACGTTATCAAAATAAATGCATTATTATTATTTGTTTTAATATCTATATTGTTAGCTTAACATATAGAAAAAAAAAAAATAAACACATTATGATTGTTTTTTTACGCACGCATACACACACACTAATATACATAATTTAAATAATAGCGCATAATATATTACTCTTGATCAAGTATACATTTTTATAAATTTCAAACAATAGACGTCCGGTACGACTTGCGATATCCTTGCAAAACCTATGGATTCTCTTCTTCGGTCATTTCCAAAGCTTCAATCGATTGCTGAAATTTCAAAAAGTTTGAACAATTATAAAGAACAGATGGAAAATATTAAAGATAAACGAATATTCTCAGGTTTCACTTACATTAAGGATAAAACAATCCCTCGCAAATATCGGAAGGTAATAAAATCGTAAGAAATTTCCTTTCTATTTATTTATACTTTCAATCAATCGTCGAAACAGGTCACCAGTAAAGTGTTTTTACCTTACAACGTGAAAAGTAATACTTTACGACAACGATCGATAAAACAAGGAAGATCCGATATATTCGATATTTTACAAGTATCAGAAAGAAACGTTAGGGATCAATCTAATTCTTCGAATAACCAATATCATGCTGTTTTATCAAAAAAGTAAATTATATAATACATTTATATATACAAGATAATACTTTTGGGATTGGTCAAATAAATATAATAATGTCGACATTTGAAATATTTTATATGAATTAATGAATATTAAAAGTTTGTATAATACAAATTTTAACGTTATATTTAATGACAGTATATAATATTTTATGATATATTCCTTTCGTTACTAACCGGTTTATATACCAGTCGTCCATGAAAAAGTTCGTGCATAATAAATTCATTTGTGCAAAATCGGTTCGATACTCGAATAGTCTCTAACATACAAAATATTAAAAATATCGACATAACTTATTTATTTATTTAACCATTCCAATATTGAATGATTTCTATTATCATAGGCAAGAAGTTAGTGACAAGGAATCACAAAGATTTTTATCGAGTACAGCATTAAGAAAATCTGCATTGATAAGGGCAACCCAACGTACCTCTTTTGATAATGTTCTTATGGAACATGATAAACGATATCAACAAACTTATACAAATCTTGGAAGAATTTTTAATCATCATTCGAATTCTATTAGAAATCTATGGCAAATTCCATTAAAAAGTACTTTAGAAACTGTTCTTGAACATACAACCGAAATTCCATATTTTTTTCACGATAATACGATGTCAGAACACAATCAATCGAATATTAAACATATTTTAAAATAATAATAATAATAATAATAATAATAACAACAATAATATATACTTATAGATTGATATTATTTAAACAAAATATTTTTACTTTCGTAGTAAGTATTATAGGTAAGAATGCATATAAACATACGCATTATAATAAATTGTTAAAAATATTTAGTAAAATAATGCTTTTTGATAATCGCTTTTAAGTAGTATATTATAACTATTGTCATTATACTATTTATGAATAAATAAATTCTAGGATTAAGAGATGCAATCGTTAATGAAATTTTTTTATTTTGTTAGATGAAATAAGATTAGCCTTCATAATTTTTCGTTAATATTTTACCATAACTTATTCATGATTATATAAATCTCTCTCTCAATGGGATTAATGAATAATTATCTTTTACTATAATTTCGATTATATAAATTTGAAAACAAATGGCCTATATCATTAAAATATCGAAACGATATTATGTACACAATAAATGTGCATTAAATACCATACAAAAAGGATCATAATAATTTTACAAATAAAAATATCAATTGACCAAGGAAAATAATTGTTGATGAAAAGGACAAGATCGTATGCGAAGTTTATCGAAGAGATTTTAAGAGTAAAACAATCGATTGATGATAAGAAAGTATTCCAAAAATATATGAAACATTTTACAATAAATACGATGATATTATTACAAACAAAATATCGAATAAGTTCGTAAATTCGACAACAGATGTTGTTAGTAGTATGAAGAAAAAGCATGGCGACGCATCGAATCCGCCATAATTGAATTTTATTAATAGAAAGAAAAATAAGAATAAGGATCAATGAACCAATTGTAAACTCGCTTCGATGTCTTTTTTCGTGGACGATATTTTTCTTTTTATCTGGATAAAAATATTCGATCTCTGATACCAAATATTTCAATAATGTTGAACGATCGAAATCGATGATCTGACGATCGAGATCTAGTTCGTCTAATTTTTGAAGAATTCTTTGAATTCTTTCTGATTCAGCACATCCTTTAAATTCGTCTGCCAAGGCAACGATCATTCCATCTTTGATTCGACACTTGCTTTGAAGAATCTTTAACATTGCGACGAGATCGTTTGTAATTTTGTTACTTTTATCTTCATGCTTTTCAATTATATTTTCATTGTTATTAACATCGCACTGTTTGAAATAAGACGAACTAAATGTACAGTTTGTTTCTTGCCTCATCGAATCCATCAAAATACATTCTTGATTTTTCAATAATTTCCTCAATGTGTGATTACGATTCTTCAATTTTTCCAAAGTTTCTCGTAACTTGTCGATTCTACAATACTACAAATAAAAATAATACATGATGTTGCAATAAGAGAAATGAAACATTGCAAATTTATTTTTTAATATCTATTGTTTCCGTTTCTTATTTTATTTTTTTGTGTGTCTTTTATTTGTCCCCGTGAAAAATTTATATTATCGTTACTTGGCTAATTTCTGGCAATTCCAAACACGTTGTACCGTTTAATAACAAGTCATCTTCCTGATCAATGTCGAAGAAAGAATACATTTCTTCGTGTCTTTTATAACAAGGAGGTCTGTTACCGTGTTTGTTTCTAAGCACACATAAATCACACCCACAAGTACAAATCGATTGATTCGATAAATTTTCAATCGTTATTGATTCGGAATCAGATTTGCCTCCTCCGCCTCTTTCTCTTTCTATTAACTCTCTCGTATTAGTTTTCGTTGGCATATTGAAATGAAATTTTGGATCGATCGATAACGAATCTGTATCCTTCGTATCATTGTCCTCGTAAAACACACATAAGTCACACAAATGCGAAGAACTAATCATACGTGGTGATTCGCAATACTTAATTAGCTCCTCTACATTATTCAAATTATTATCATCGTCAACTTCGTCTTCAATCGTAACGTTATCATCGATATAAGAATTATCAATATTTTGTATTAAATGATTAGAGTAAAATGGTTCCTCATATTTATTGCATCTAAAAAACAATTTCAAATAAAAATAGATATTATTGAATAAAAAAGAAATATAGTAAATATAATCACAGATACTATAAATGAATAATTATACCTCGAAGTTGAATATTTGCAAACCATATTACAATCATGTTCTGCAACGTTATGTTGGCAACATTCATTGTAGAAATTTGTACAAGTACAGAATTCTTCGTTTTGCATAATCGATGATTTTGTAAATTCATCGACGTTGTTTTCATCGTCTTTTCTTAAATCATTTTCCCAAACTGCACAACTACAGGGTTTACCTGCACTAATCTGTGAGATTAGTTGTTAGAGTAGAAAATCTATCATGATTTAAAAAGATAAAAAGAATTGATTGTGAACAATAACCGTAGTTTTATTACGATCCTGTCGGGGTTCTTCTTTTTCAAATTTACGCAAAAGACATTTGGCTTCTCGAGAAAGTATAATTCGTTCCTTTTGAAGATTTCGTAAATCTGAACAAATTTTTCTACCCATGCTCCCCAACTTTGAAACTCTTTCTTTTATATCATAATTCAGGTTCATTTTGCTATTTTTCTTTTTTTCTTTTTTCTTTTTCTTTATATTTAACTTTTTATACTAAAAACATTATTCCAAGTAAATATTCGAAATGAGAGGTTAATAAAATTTTAAGGGGGAACAAACTGGAAAAAATTTCAAATGTTTAAAGGCAAACTGGAAAATGAAGTTGTTGTTTTCGCTATTCATAACAACTTCGTGTTATTTATACATATTTGTTTCTGTACACTTATTATTAATTTTTCAAATTTAATCTAATGTTATACAAACGTTTATCACATAGTTTTAATTTATTTAAAATTGTCAAATTTTTACTAACAATATAATTATTATTATTATAATTTTTTAATTTCAATTTCGTTCCACTGACACTCTTAATTAAAAATATACATATTAATAAATATAGAAAATAAAAATAAACTTTGGGGGGGGGGGAAATATGCAAAGAAGATTATACTACAAATTTTTGAAAATACTTTACTATTTAAAAATAATTTGTATGTGTATGTATTGTTATATTATTCCAAATTTTATTGCATTGATCGCAAAACGGTAAAGTATGAGATCGATGTGCGAACAATCTTTAATAAAAAAGATCAAGTTAGAATAAAAAAAGAAAGATATTTTTATATAAAATTTACAAAATATGATCATTCTTACAGAACTAAATGTTTCCATAGATATGTTAAACATTTTAGCGGCAGTTAGCGTACAAGGTACTCGTGATCTGATTAACATAAAATAAATTTCTTTTCTCGTTGGTAAAGATGTTCGATACCATCTCATATTTATTCTGTAACCGATGGAATTAAATTCAAAAGTAGATATAAAAAATTAATTTATAAAGCATTGAATTTGAAAAAAGAAAAAAATTGTCTACTTACAGATACTCATGCATTTGACTACTATGATCGATAAGTCGTTGACCATTCACACATTCAAACAAAATATGAATTAACGTCGTATAACAAACACACATTTGTTGAAAAAACTGTTTGGGTTCATTGACATTTAGGATGGCCTATATATTCAAATAAAATTCATTTAAATTAACACAATCATCACACAAATATTTTAGAATGAAAAATGTTATAGGAGTGTTGCTTATAATTGAAAATGACTAATTAATAAAGAATATTTTTATTATAAATTTACCTGTAGACCAGTAACACTCATTCCAATCATGCTAATTCCTGACTGAAGAAAAAATGATGTCGTGTAATATGATTCCAATAAATTAGCAAACCTTCATTAAAAAAATCAATAAATTAATAACATCAAATAATTATTTATATCACTAAAATTTCGCACATCTTATACAAATAATAATAATAATGGAATAAATATATAAAACTACAAACTCTATTGCCTTTTGATGTCTACGAACGCATTCCGAAATAATTTTATAATACTTATCATTTAATTTCGAAGAATTTAAATTTATTTTCGAATCGTCATCATCGAAAATATGACAAAGTTTATACCTGCAACAATTATTATTCATTTCGTAAATATTTTATATTATATTTTATGCAGCAAAAAGTATTCAATAATATTAGATATATTGACAATTGTAATAATAAATTTATAATCATACACATATTACGTATCGAACTTTAAGGATTCTACCCTAAAGCTGTAAATAATCCACAAGCGTGTTGGACAAATACCACAAACATGATGTCCATCGTGACAATCGTAAAAGTACAAATAAAGATGATCAAATACGAATGAATGATAATAAAATAATAATATTCTTGTGGATCGACAAAATATTCAACGTGATGTATAAGTGGTCGTTCAATCGTTCCGTTCATGCTACTCAAAATAATAGATTTCAATGGTGGAATCATAAATTGTAGCATTGATATAAAAAAAAGACCTATCAAAGAGAGCACAATAAGTACGTAAAAATTACATAAAGAAATTTTGTTTAATTAATAATTTCAAAATAATATTAATTACCAATATACACAATAGTAAATTTTCTCCCATATTTGGCATACTCTAACATAATTTCCTTTTCACCGTCTGTTGCGAATAAAACATAATCTGTTTGCATACGATTTAGAAGTATTTTCATCTGTAATTAATAATTTTCCTATTTAGATGAGTAAAATAGATTTATATATTTCAGTATATCACATAAATAAATATAATAGAAATTTATATATTTGTGAATTTTTACAAGATCTCTTAAATCTGGTATTATAAGCGAGTAGGGGTAATTTTACATGATAAACTATATATAAATATTAATAATGACATATATATATATAATATACCTTTCTTCCTTGTATTGCATTATTAACAAATTTGATTATTGCAATGGAATCGGCAACAAGTGGTGCCATGTCGTCTAGAATTATATTTCTATGCTTAAATGAAGTTACTATAGCACATATCTGAAGTAAAGAATCCAAGAAAATATAAAATACAAATTGAATTCAAGTATTCGTTGAAAATAACGTTCGTAATTTTAATT